TATTCGGAATCGAAATATGGCCTTATTTGCAGCATGAATTCGGAAAATAAGTTTTTTTGAATTTTGATAAACTAAACGTTCACCAAAAAACTTTAGTGAGAAAAATCGAAAAAACGAACTACAAACATATTAACGCCAAACATTCGGTAGAATTTATAGAATATTGTAAAAATTATGGTCTATTACCAACATATATATATATATATATATATATATATATATATATATATATATATATATATGCCTATATATATATGCCTTGGTCCATAAACTGCAAAACTACGTGATGCAATGTTTAATTTAGTAACCGGGACCACTAATAAATTTCCCCGATCTGATCGTAGGCCAATTTTTAAAAAAATCGATGATCTGTCAATCAACATTTCGGACAGATATTGCGGAGCTAATCCGTTTAAGCATCTATAAACTAAAACACAGACTTTAAAAACAATTCTTTTGTTGACCGGCAACCAATGCAATTCCGACAGAAGTGGGCTAATATGTTCAACACGACTAGCACCAACAACAATTCTTGCAGCTCCATTCTGAACCATCTGCAACTTGACAATCTCATGTTTCAAAACACCATAAAACAAACTATTACAATAGTCCAATCTAGAATGTATGAATGAATGAATCAGAGTAACCATGGTTGATCTGTTCAAACTCTTTTTAATTTGATTCAATTTCCGCGATTGAAATGAACAAGATTTCACCAAAACTTTTATATGTTCACCCATACATAGATTTTTATCTATTTTAAAATCCAAAACTAACCATTTTTCCAAAATCAATAATCATGTCACTTATCTTCACAAAATCAACGTTAATCCTAGAGGTTTGCTGCCAAGTTCCAACTGGTACCAACTGAGTTTTTTCCCGATTCAATTTTATACCATTCAAACCCATCCAGTGCACCCAAACAATCCAACATTCTTTCAATCAAAAAATCTAGCTCCCTAGTCGCCGCACTTGCAATTATTTGAACATCATCTGCATAAGCAAAACCCTTTAAAGAAAATTCATCAGTGAGATACATAATATCGGCTGTATATAACGTAAAAAGAAGCGGGCCTAAAACAGACCCCTGGGGAACCCCAGACAAAACATCAACTGTATTTGACCGAGAATTATTAAAATAAACCTGCTGGGTATGTATGTATATGTATATATATATATATATATATATATATATATAATCTTGAATATACATCACATGTATTTCAAATTTGACTGCTATCGACGGCCACACACGCTTCAGAAAATATCACTCAGGAGAAAGTTGGTTGGAGGTGGTGGTGTGTGTGTCATACATCTCATCTTAAATTTACACCGTCTCATCTCATGCTATCAATAATGTAATGGAAACCCTCTATCTCAAATGCATCTGGGAGTGTGTTCCAGAAGTCATTTTTGGCGTCTTCAGATTCACCGGTCTTTGGTTCATATGCAGAGAAAAAAGTCAGAACCTGTTTTTCCATTCTGAGTTTAATCAGCATAAGAGCGGTTATGTCAGCTGGCTGTGATAAGCGGACTACGGCGAACAATTCTATTTATGACCCTTATTTACGGTCTCTCTACGGTCTTTACGGTCTCGTGCTAAGGCCATCCCGCTTGATCTGCGAAACACCACTAGGATCGGCTCTTGGAACATTCGCTCACTTTGCGCAACGGGTGGCGCAAGGATTCTCGTGGACGAATTGTCGCGATACGGTTTATGGGCCTGCAGGAAGTTTGATGCCATGGCGCTAATGAACTGCGTGTTTCTGATTTCAATATACTGTGGTCTGGTCCAGCTGAGGGTCATCACAGGCTCGCTGTTGTTGTCTTGGCCCTGAGCAGTTAGACTAATCGTGCATGGAAGACTCGTTTCGCTTCACCAGACCTACCGACTTTATCATTTGCCTGGGCGACTTTAAACCGCCGTATGCTTGCGATAGTTGGCCTCTTTGGTCACCAAACAACAATTCTGATCGTTTCCTGGAATTCTGTCCCTTCGCGGGACTTGAAGTGTGCGGATCCTCGTTTCGTTGTAAGGATATCCATAGCATGACGTGGCACTCAAATGACGTTTAACACGCAGCCAGACATTACCCTGTTGGTTAAGTTATCAAAAACTGATTGACTTATTGTAAAGAATTATAATCTTTTTAAATATTATGGCATCATTTATTCATTCATTTTTTGATAATTTGTAGATGCCTCTGTAAACACAGTTGATTCTAACGGGAATTCACTTCTGCATACAGCAGCTGCTTATGGTTACTACCAGCTCATTGAAATATTTATTAAATATGGAGCTGATATACATAGGTATTTTTCTGTTTCAAAATGCATTTTATAATTGAACTGATTTAATTGTTCTTTTTTTGTTAGTTTTTTTTAAACATGTGCATTTTAATGTGAGCCCATTCCGATTTAGACCAAAGGAGGCAAACTTTTTGCTGTGAGGGCCGCATTGAGAACTATTTACCTTTTCATTATTTTTTAACAACGTTTGTGACACCACTGGCTACACTGCAAACACTTGATTGAATTGTTACCTACACCAGCTTTACAAACTGAACACGGCCATCGTCCAGTAGCTGGGGATAGGATGGGTTCACCAGTGTTTATTGCTTTGGTTTTGCTGATGTTGACTTTGAATCCATAATCGGCCAGTCTGGTGTTCCGATCTTCAAACATCTGTGCTGCATTTTGCTCAGACGTGGCTGTTAAAACGATATCATCAGCATATATTAGATTCCAAATGTCACCAGTGGGTATCGGCTTTGTGATTTCTTCCATCACAGTTATAAATAACAGTGGGCTGAGAATCGAGCCTTGGTGAACTCCAACGTCGATGTCAAATGCATCTGTGTTTCCAACCGTTGTGCCGACGAGAGTCTTAGTAGACTTTGGTTTTTGCCATACCTTGTATGCAGCTTTCTTTTCAGCTATTGCATTTTGTACACTGTCATTCCACCACCAAGTTTCCCGTTCATGCTGGCGTTTTGTACCATTTTACCACAAACTGTAGTTGCAGCGTTTATCGTTGTAGTTTGGAGAATTGGAGAATTTTTTTAAAATGTATGATTCTTTTTTTGATCATAATGTCTGGCTAACGACCTTTTTTTGTCCACCCCTGATTTAGACAAATTTTCAAATACAGAATATTTTTATATTTAAAAGCGATTAAAAAATTTGTTTTTAAAACTTTATGTTGAAAGCCGCCTGAAATATTCAAAATTAAAACCGACGATAACATAAATGTTAAAGTTTAGTTATAATTATTTTGTCTTCGGATAATAGATTTGTTGTATAATTGTATTTGTTGAACAAAGCACATTTAATATACAAAGAGAATCCCTTTTCAAATTTTATTTTTTCCATCAGACGAGGATATTATGGCATGTTACCTATTCATTTGGCCTGTATGCATGGGCATCATGAATGTTTCAGATTGTTGTTGAATGTTGCTGTTAAAACTATAGAAACATCAAAGAACGATCTGCTAATGGAGGATGTACAAATAGGAGAAAATATCACTAGAACAACTTCACTATTCAACGTAAACGTTGTTGATGACCTTGGCAGAAGCTGTTTGCATACTGCTTCAATTGGAGGGTAAATTAATGTACTTTTGAAATTTCAGAAGATTTATTGATAAATACCGACTGACCTGTTTTTATAAAAAAAAACTGATAAATTGTAAATTTTTAAATTTGTTATAGCTTTATTCACTGAATTATTGTTTTTTTTAGTAATGTAGGTATTGTAAATTTGCTTGTGGAATCGGGAGCATCTTTGGAGATGTCTGATAATGACGGCAGGTGGGTTTTGTAAGATAAATTTGTTTATGCTATTTAGTTATACTATTTTTTTAATTTTTTTTTTCATTTTAAGCAAACCAAATTTGTATTTTTTTTTGTAATTAAATTATATTCTATTTAAAATTTGCAAACATTTTATAACAATATATCTAATATTGAAAGTTAACATTGTAAAATTGTAATGAACTCGGTAATGTAATGTAATTACAATTCGAGCTTGCAAAAACAAAAAAATCAAGCTAAAAACATGTCGATAAAAATTGAATATATCTATATCTATATAGCCACATAAAAAATTTTGTTCTTCAAATATTTAAAGGACATTTTTTCAAAAATTAAAAAAAAATTATTACAAAATCTTGTGGTATACCTACTTAATTATCTTTTTTCGTAACTTTCGGTTACCATATCAAAGTTTTACAGATCAGAGACATGTACACATAATTTTGTGTTAATTAAATATCTTAATTTGGAAATCTAGTTTAGAAATAATATTACTGTTTTATCATTGCCTTCAAAGACTGTCATAGCCGGAGGTGGTGAAATTAAAACACCCTCATGGCGTGCGTCTCAAATAGCTTCTGACAGTCAAATTCCAACTCCTGGCCTTCTCGTGGCGAAACTGTTTAAACTAACAGGAGAAAAGGCAAAGGCGAATAACTAGCGCCTCAAAATTAGTCGCTTCGGGTTGATGGGGCTCGTTACCCACTCATCCTGGGGAAGGTAAACTCTAATTTCAAATCTCCACTGCCTTGTGGCTATATCCTTACTAGAGAAAGGCTAAGGGAGTAAACCCTAACAGAAAATCAGGCGTGGTAGTGATTGGGGATTCGTTTCCATATCTCGGCTCCCAAATACACTCGTCAGGCAGTAGTGACGCTGAAATTTCATTTTTCTCGCGTGTATGAGGTTCCTGGATCGTGGTGTATGACACTCGGGCATTTCGGTGACGACCCAAGTTCGATTGTATAACGCATACATCATCCCCGTGCTACTCTTTGGATGTGAGTCGTGGTCAACTATTGGCGCTCATTTGAAGAGGCTAGACGCTACAGATCAATAGTGCTTGCGCAGGATCCTTCGTCTAACCTACCGCGATCGCGTCACCAACGTTGAGGTGAAAAGAAAAACACAGCAGCCTTCCATTTCCTCACTCCTGCTCAGGCGTCGTCTAAACTTCTTTGGTCACATAGCTCGTGCCAGTCCCATGAAGGATCATTACCGGGCTTTTAAAGCTGTCATAGACCGACCCGCCACCGGACTGGACTCGACAGCGCGGCCGTCCAGGACAATCATGGGTCGGCTCAGTGGAGAAGGACCTGTCCCTCATCAACTACGGTCCTTACTTGCTCATGATTGCTTGAAATGGATTCCTGTTTGTCAATCCATGGATGCTGTGGAATTTTTACAAGCATTTTGTGGCTTTAGCAAAAATGCCTGCTAGTGGATGAATGTTACAATTGAAGCTGTTCAAATGAACTTGGAGTTCTTCATTCACGGTATATCTCAGATTTCCATTTCGATAAATAATGCAATTTTTTTAAATTTATTATCAATTCAATAGGATCATCAACACAAGACGGCTATGGTCCACCATCAAGGCCCTCATTGGCAAGCCCAAATAATATCCTAACTACGTCATTGTCCTTAACAATGAGTTAATAACCAATGATATCAGTGGGACCTCGTTTGGCCAGGACAAAGAAACCCTGCTGCAGACATACAAGGCCATTGGCCGATCAGTGCTTGAGTATGCTTGCCCCGCCTGTTCTCCACTGACATCTGATACGAGCTACAACAGACTCCAACGTACACAGAATGTCGTTTTACGGTTAATCATTGGATGCCATGGGATAGATGTCCAGATGTGCTTCTCAGGCATCAACAAGAATTTATGTCCATCCAGGTCATCTACTCGCTCTCCCAGTCAACTCAAGTTCAACCGGTCAGTGGCTCAATCCTCCGGACAACTCAACATTTTGTAGTGGAACTGCAAAGGAGTAAAAAATAAACATGAATTACAACTACACCTCGACACACAAAATACATATAGCAGCAATTCAAGAATCAAAACTTACGACGCAATCAAAAGTTTCAGAGTTTGATGATTACACCCTATACCGCAGGGACCGTGAATGCGGGCGAGGTGGCGGTTTGATCATGCTAATTCATTCTAGCATCCCATTCACCATTAAACAATTGCAAAGCTCAAAATCAATAGAAAGCAAAGCCAAATAAATAAAATCAGTGAGTAAAAATAGTCGACCTGCTTATTTGGTCGGCCCGTACGAGTACATAATTTACGGCAATTCTCATCCCAACCAAAAATGCATTATTGTGAAACCTAACTCGATTTAGGCTAGGCTCGTTTCATCCCTTATGGTGCATTTATTATCTCAGTAGATAATATTAAAAACTACGGTAGGTAATTCTCAAAATAAATTTTAGTCTCTAGATACGTACTGCTACTCTGTCGAATAAAAGAATAATCAAAGATGTGAGTAAAAATATAGGTGAAAATAGTTGAACTGCTCATGCTTTTTATTTTGAATCGATTTTGTCCATCACATTTATTAATAGGTTGTTATTGTTATTACACGTTATTAATTTATAGACTTGTTTTTCTCAGGACTCCTTTGCATTATGCTTCTGCTTTGGGGAATCACAACTGCGTAATGTCTTTAGTAACTGCAAAGGCAGAAGTTGGAGCATTGGATGCATGGGGACGAACACCACTTCATTATGCTGCTGCATTCGATCAAGATGGAAGGTGAATAAGCGTTTAATTTTAACTGTCTAGTACTTCAATCTATCATAGGATTATGTATATTATGTTCACAAAAAAAGTTTTTGTAAACATAACTAAATTTATTCATTCCTACAGGATAGTTGAGTATTTTTTGCATAATAATGTGGGTGCAACATGCAGAGATAATGAAGGATATACACCAACACATTATTCTGCATTCTATGGAAAAAGGGCTTCACTGGAAATTGTACGTTTTTGGTATTTGTTTTTTTTATATATTTTTTTCACAAAGACAGCAATTTTATTTCTAACAGGTTATCAATCACATTTATGATAATTTTTTTTATTCATACTTTCCTACCAGACGATCTAACCAACTATCGCCCAACATCAAATTCGAAGACTATCATACGCCTTGCTTGGAAATCACACCTTTCCTTCTTAATCAACGCTGGGGTTTCTCGGAAATCCGTTTTCTGTCATAACCTTTCCACAACGTTCATATCCTCTGTTAGTGATGTATTTAGCAAGTATCACCGTCAAACATTCAGATGATACATTTCCATATTTCTGTCACTCTGGACGTCTTACCCATAATTTTCCCATTTTACGGCAATGCACTTGCAAGATCCATCAGTTGTAATTAAATAATTTTCTTTACCTTAATGCTCGCAAAACTGAGAGTGCTTGTCGACACACGCCAGCAGTTGCTGAAATTTTTCCTCCTGGCTTTAGTTATAGCAGAATCAACAATACTAATCTCAAATACAGTCAAACTTTTGGTCTTCTTTGTAGATCAGGATGTTGGAGTCGATTAAAAAATATTCATATTCGCATCCGGTTCCTCAAAAAATTTCAACTCCGACTGCATGTAAAAATGTTCGACTCCGACTTTGAGTTCCGACTCTTAGAAAAAATATTTTCAACTTTAGCGTCATAATTTTACTTTAATATAGTTACTAAATGAAAAATTCTTTAAATACTCTTAAAATCAGTCAGTATAATAGTTTTTTTTAGTAAAATAACTATATATTTATGGTTCAAAACATACGTGATTTTATTCAAATTTTATTGTCATTTATTTTCAGTTTTGATGATAGTTTCATATCGCTGCACACGATCTTAAAACAAATTTTCAAGTTAAATAAATAAAAAAAAAATTCAAATTGCAATAAAACTTGAGCACTGTAAAACATACACATAATCACTCTTCAGATTTAGTGATTGCCAGAGATAGTGTAATGGTTAAGGCGTATTTTGTCTTGCTGTGACAATGACTGGGTTCAAATACGTCTGTCTTTACATGCGCTGTTTGTCTTGCATAAAGTCATGCATTGTCTTGCGTCATGCGTTGAATTTTCGTTGTTGACATCTCTAAACTTTAATTTAAAGAAAATTAATAATAGCAGAAAATAGCTGACACAAAAAAATAAAGATCGTTGACGAGTCGAGTTATACCTAAGAGATTACAGGACAGGAAAAGTAATGAAATAGCTGTGTGCAAGTGCATTAAGTAATGAAAGTAATGAAATAGCTGTGTGCAAGTGCATTAAAGCAGAGAAAAAAGCAATCATGGAATATTGCACGCGTAGAAATTTTTAATCTAAAGTTTAAACACACAGGTGAAAATTTTATGTTGGAGAGTTTCAATAATATTCAGAAATATTCAGCATATTTTCCTTTATTCTGTAAAAAAGATTATGCAACGACATTAACAGCAGAGGCATGCTGCTAGTAAATTTTATAACTTAAATAGCTAATAAAAATTTGGTTAAGTTAACATATTGGCTGTCTAGTGATTGGTAATTAATTTAAGGTCTCTACGAGTGAATATTTTATCTTGTTATGTTGAGCATGTATAAATTATATAGTTGTGTTTGCGTTGACGTGGTTTTGATTGGTGATAGCAATGGGTGAATAACATGATTGCAGTTAGATTCAATTTTTGTGAAAAAACGAGCGTCTAATGTGTTAAAGATTTGAGTGTGGATTTGGTAAATACAAAGATACGAATTCTAATAATTTTGTTAACTAGTTAATGTAGTTTATCATTTGGTAGCAAATCCTGATCATAATGGTGCCGCATATATTATGAGTAACACTATGGATTTGTGACATATTACATGTGTGAGATTATAAGATTAGTGACATCAAAAAATTCGATGATCCTGAGTCTATGTGAGCATAATGTTTTAAGTACGTGTAATGTTTGAAGGCCTTTTGTAATCATTGAATGATGCAGTCAATACTAGTCATAACTGGACACTGCAGTCACATCCAAAACTTCCAATATAACAATCAACTCATTTACATTGCACTACAACTCAAGGAACTAATCTTACACCTCAAAATCCTCATAACACATTCTAAAACAATCTCACTGCTCACCAAAACGGTCACCACGCACGCTAAAACAATCATATTATACCTCTACACCACATTGATTCAATCATCTTTTACCACAACGCAGTCATCTCACACACCATAACAACCAACCCGATTTTCAAACCAGCCCTACTACATTTTAATCCAACCATCATCACATTTCACCTCAATCCCATGACAACTCATTCAATATTTTACAACTAAACTCACCAGTAGAATAACCGAACTTTAACATTTCCTTCACAAACGCAACATATAAATTGCTGCCCTCCAAGAAACCAAACTAAGCAATAAAAAATCTCCAAACTTACCACAACATACAATCATTAGACAAGACAACAAATTGCGGTGAAGGACTAGCTTCCTTATCTATAACAATACACCACACCATTTAAATTCACCAATCATCAATCTATAACACTACACCATTCAAATTCACCAATTATCAAATCACAGACAATCATATTAACCGAAATTTGCCAGACTTCATGTGTTGATTTTTTTGTAATTTGATGCAAATGTCATAGCAAGATAATTAAGACTTTGGATATATATCCAGAATGCCGGATCTCAGGTTAATTCAAACTTTATTAGTGATGAAGAAAAAACTAGGAAAAAAATTGAAAGACTTGTCAAGAAACGGATAGATGTCATTACGGAATGATTTAAGGCATGTTGCAATTTATGAAAATTAAAAAATAAAAAAATTAGGATTTTTCTGAAAAATAAAATTTGTCAGCTTCACTGGTCTTTGTTTTAACATAAGAGCTCCAATGATCTGTTTTTTTAACATAAAATTTTATTGATTGTAACTTGTAAGGAGACGAAATGATTTGACAAATCACAGTTACTAGAGCCAAATAAAGTTTTTATTGTCATATTTTCATATAGCGCACTATAGACACTTTATTTTAAAAAACTTATTTGATTTATTTATTTAACAACTTTTGGAATTTTGATTATTTTAAATTATTTAATTTAGATTATATTATTTTAGCTAAAATTTCTAAAAATACTAATAATTCTCTATATTAATTATTTGTATTAGCTGCTGGACATAACGGCTAGGGAGGTTATGAATAAAAAAAATCATCAAAATGTTTATTCTCCTTTACACTTGGCTGTAAGTTTCTAAATGTTGATTACATAATTTTATTATTTATCTGTTTATGTATATTTACAAGACAGAAGACATGCAGATTGCAATAGATAAGTTATTGGAATAAGTAAAATATTTCATATATTTAGATTAAGTGATCAGAAAATGGATCACACAATGAAGATATTCAGATGCGAATCGCTTGAGGAATGCAAGGGCAGGAATGATAACGTCTATATGAAACTCAAAACAGCTGAAAGTAGAAACGAAATTGAAGGTATATAATTAAGACACAATACGACTGATAAAGTGGTTATAAAACATGAACAACGACAAGATTATTAGCTACAAAAATTTTTTGTATCAAAAAATATTAAGAATTAATAGAAAAGAACGGATAAGGAATTAAAACATCGGGAGAAGATTAAATATAGACGAAACGATAATTAACAAAATAAGGAGGAGAATATTGAGTTGGTGGGGACACGTAGAAACGATGGAATACCAAAAATGGCTTTGTATACAGAAGTCTAAAGAATGAAAGCTGCTTAAAGACAAAAATAAAAATTTATAACACTAAAGATGATTTAGTAAAGTTGAATATCAACATGAAAGATGCCTTGAAAAAGTTCGAAACTGAGACATGGAAAAATTCATAAAGAACGGACAGAAAGTCGATGATAATGGTGCATATTTAAAAGAGAGAAAGAAATTAAGGGTGATTGAATGAAGAAATTTAGAACCTTTGATACCGTAGTACTGTTTAAATGTTGATTGCCGACTGGGAAGAAATAATGTCAAAGGACACAAAAACAGTAGGCTTAGACATAGCACAGAATAAAAACGGTTGGAGAAGGCGTATTAGTGTGCAATTTTACAAAAATGCCAACCAACTCTGGGTTTCAACAACAGAAATCTGGCATTGGGCTGATGATGATCGAATTAGAAATTAACTAATCATTTATTTCAATAATGCTTCATTGTCTTATTCGATTTAACTTCATTTTATATAGGCATATAATAATCATTTGGAAGCATTAAATACAATAGCTAGCTACGCCGTCAATTTGGATGTGCAAGATAGTAAAGGTTTCTTAACAATTTTTTGTACATGTTTCACTTTTTTAGAATTTTTTTGTTGTACTTTACTATAGAAATAGTTTTAAGTTTCACAAATTTTTGAACGTTCGATGTCCTTGTTCTTTAAAGAAATATGACTAAAGCCATTTTATCAACCTTTTTTCATCATGAAATAATAAATTTATTTGGCTCAAATTATTCCGCTACTTTTTGATCAATAATCAATAAACGCAGGTAGGTCGGCCCTTCATTTAGCCGCAGCCCGAGGAAACGTTTGTTGTTGTGAAGTGTTATTAAGTAACGGTGCGTCTCCAAGATTGCAGGATTTAATATCTAGAGCTACCCCTCTTCATATTGCAGGTTTACTTCACTTTTTGATGTTTTCTAAAATTATTATTAAATTATGTTGTGTCGAATTTTGTATCTTTGTTGAGCCGCAGTTAGGCAAAACATGTTTGATGGTTTGCTTAGCGTTGAATAATGGACATTGAGCGTTAGAATATTTCTAGCAAATTTAAAAATTACCTCTGGATGTTTGGCTATCGTTTTCAACCAAAGAATAATTTAAGTCGCGCTGATGTGCTCTTTTATTATTATATCTTGGCAACCTAAAATTGTTAGGTAGGCGAATAATATTTCTTGTTGCTCGGATTTTAAATTTTTTAAGTAGGAGTGATATTTTTAGAGACCGAAACAAATTGCCTATTTTGATGTAGTCTTTAGTCGATTCGCACCACAGATTTTTCATTTCCTCATAAATCTTTATTATTCATTTATTTATCCTTACATGTTATATGGTATTATTATTTGGAGTAGTCAGGTTAAAAATCATTTTTTGCTACTCTCGTTGCCAAAATATTTTTATTAGAAGGTATTTTAACTTAAAAAAATTTGATCATAACTCTGGATGTTTTATACTTTCCAAGTTATTTTCTACTAATCAGTTATATATTTTAAGAGTCACTTTTTTTTATAAACTAATAGTTATCAAAATTTATCCTCAATTTCTTATTTAATAACCACTTCATGACAATGTTCGTTCAAAACTAATAGTTATCAAAATTTATCCTCAATTTCATTCTTATTTAATAACCACTTCATCACAATGTTCGTTCAAAACTTCATACAGTAGGAATTTTTCTCGCGCTGTCTTATTTACTAAGTCTCTTTAAATTTTAGTAATAAATTTTGGTCTTCATTGGCTAATTATCTTATATCTGATATTAATATTTATAATTTTTTTAATTTTTTATCAATTATTATTAAATTGTTATCAAATCATTTTTCATCATTTGTTTAAATTTTGACTAAAAATTGTGTGTATTGTAAATAGTGAATTTTGTTAATTTTTTTTTGATTGTTTTTGTTTTTTTTATATAATCTAATTTATTTTTCAGAAACACTTGATCATTTGTTTGATTTTTTTCACACTACATTTGTGCTATTTGATTTTGTGCCATTAACAAACCTAGCCTATTCTGGCTTCTGGCCTTGAATGTATTCAAAATAAATTGTGTGTTCAAAAGTTTATATATATATATATATATATATATATATATATATATATATATATATATATATATATATATATATATATATTGGTAATAGACTATAATTTTACAATTTTCTATAA